CCCAACTCTGGATAAAAATCGGTTATTCCAATTTTTTATCCTATTGAAAATACGACCACGCAGATACCCCAGGATCACAACTTTTTTTTTCACAAGCGCTGGCAATCCAAGGTACAAATCCTGCTCTCCTTCATGCGACACTCCAAACTGCTGGCTACAAAAAAAATTAAATTGTTCCCCAACATTCTGACTAAAAGTTAAAGAGGATTTATTAAAATTTACTAGCTGCCCTGACAACTGGTCATAAATCTGCAAAATATTTTTAACAGTCGCACATTCCCCTTTTGAGGTCTTAACAAAGAGAAAACTATCATCCGCAAATAACAGATGTGACACTATCGGTGCCCCTTTACACACCGCCACCCCGTGAATCTCCCCCCTGCTTTCGGCTCTACGCAGTAGTGCACTCAGCCCTTCAGGTACTAAAATAAATAGGTATGGAGAGAGAGGATCTCCCTACCTCAAGCCCCTCTGCGGTACAATAGAGGCCCCAAAAAATCCTTGTCATACTGAACATAGTAACTTACCGTCGTCACGCATAGCATAATAATATTTACCCATCTCGGGCTAAAACCCATTCTCGGCATAATTTCTTTTAAGAAATCCCAACTGACCCTGTCATAAGCCTTACTCATGTCAAGTTTTAGCGCCACAAAACCTTTATTTCCATAAGACTTTCGTTTCAAATAATGTTGCGTTTCAAAAGCAACAATAATATTATCAACAATGGACCTTCCTGGAATAAAGGCAGTCTGGCTCTCATCCAGTAATCCCCCAAAATTTCTTTCAAACGATTAACTAACACCTTAGAAAAATCTTATACACAACATTACACAAAGCAATTGGCCTCCAATCCCCCATATTCTCCGGCTTATCCTTCTTGGGAATTAACACAATATTAATCACATTTAATTCCCCTGGTAACATTCTTGTATCAAAAATACTAGAACACAAGCGAGACACCTCTGGCCGTAGTATATCCCAAAATTTCTGAAAAAAGGTTGGATTCATCCCATCTGCCTTTGGCGCCTTCTCCGGATGCATGTCAAAAATAGCTTCCTTCACTTCCTGTGAACAATAGCCCTTGTCAGCTACCCATTTTGCTCGGCCAAAACCTGTTTGAAAACACCAATGGACGCCCAGTCCTGTTCCATGGCCCCCCTTGAAATATGTTCTCAAAATAGTTTCTAACCATATCACCCATTTGAGCTCTCTCCGTGATCCACGCACCATTGGCCGCACGTAACCCCTGAATTTTATTTCTTCTTCTTCAATGTTTAAATGCATTGTGAAAGAACCTGAAATTTATATCGCCCTCTCTCAGTCAAAACTCCTTAGCCCGTTGACGCCAATACAAATTCTCTTTCTCCATTAGCGATTGAACAACAGCTCTTAGCGTAACCAGGGGTGGAAACAGGGAGGGGCTGGCGGTGGCCACGGCCCCTGCAAGGAAAAAAATCGTATGTATATATTATGTATAAATACTTTTAATCTGTAGAAAGTATGTTGCTATTTTAAACTTTGGTCCCTGCAATGTAAAATTGTTAAGGACCGGCCCCTTTAACCCTAAATGTTTGGCTCCGCCACTGAGCGTAACAAATTCCACCGTGCTCCTATCATCATCCTTGCCCCTCAACCAAGTTAATCGTTTTTTGAATGCTAGAATTTGATTCTGGAACCCCTTCGGTCTGCGATCATCCCACCACATGAGTTCTTTCCCACAAAATAATTCTTTCATTAATCGATAGGTGCTGACCCGCATTCCAGCTACTTGTTACCACAGTACGACACTCTTACTCCTTAAGCCACATATTTTTAAATTTAAATTTTCGTGGCTTTCTCCCATGAATTGTTGGGTTAAGCTTTACCTATAAAGCCATATGATCACTAGTTGGTGCTTCTACAGATGTTGCCTGTGTTGCCATAAACTTATTCCACTAGTTGTCATTGACCAAAATCCAGTCCTGTTTCTCCTCCACCCAAAACGAAGTACCTTTACCTTTGTCCCATGTCCACTCGTATCCTTCAAACGGGAAGTCCCTTAAACCACTGCTCACCACAGCATCTCGAAAGCCTCTCAATATTCATGGGGTATACGACCTTTCTAGCTTCTATGAATCATATAGGATATCATTAAAGTCACCAATAATCATCCAAGGTAACGTATTATTTTCTGCCAAGCCTTGTAACATTTCCCAAGCCTCTCATCGTCGTCGAGTTTCTGGGAAGGCGTAGTAGCAGGTTAATCTCCAAACTTGTTCGTTTGCTGTCGTTCTGACTAAACAGTCCACATAGTTCCTCTGCACAGATGTAATCGACACCCTCATCTCCTCATTCCAGCCCATAACGAGTGCTCCGACATTACCGTCGCTATCCACTCCCTCGCATTGGTGGAAACCTTACCGGCGTAGTAGGTCTGTGGCACGCTGACAGTCTATCTTCGTCTCCATAAGAAACATGATTGATGGCCGGTACCCTTGAACGATGTGGGTCACGCCTTGAACCGTAGCCAAATTCCCCAAACCTCTACAATTCCAAGTTTCCAACTGATGAAGCTCATGATAAAAGGCAGAGAAAAACTAAAACACCAGACACAGTGGCCGAGAAGGTCACCGCCAGAAAACACCAACCTAGGCGAACCCTAGGAGACGACAGCTTTTTTAGGAAACAAATTGATTTCGTATGTCATAGCGCTTATATTTAATTAACCTCGTACGAGACTAAATCCGTTCATTTTGAAAACATCATAAATCTCAATCGACTACACATACAATAAAATTTTATTTTTTTAGGTGTGTGTTTAATTTCGATTGCTTGCAAATATTAAACGTTGATTTTTTGGTTCCTCAAATTACAAAAAACTAAACTGAATATATTTCGGTAAATACCAGAGCAAAGGGATAGGTTATGGTTGAGCATATAAAAATAATGGTTTTTTTGCATATCCTTCTAAACTTATTATACTATATGCTCCAGTTAATGCCAACATCCTTGATTGGGATGAAACTTCAACCCGACCTCCTCTTTGGGAGATCAACGGTAATGCCATTAGACCATAACTCCACAAGGTACTTGACAAATAATGGTTTTTTTTATCAAATTATTTATCATGTTCGGTTAGGTTTCACCAAATGAACACCCCTCCGATCCTACCTTGTCTACGTGGTAGAATATTACGGGAAATGGCCTAAAGAACCACTCTCAAACACTCATTTTCGTATAAGGCTAGATCATAATAAAATCAAACCATAACATGATTACACACATAAAAAAATGATAGTTGTACTCTTGATATATCGTGGGAGCAGCCCACGTTGAGCATACTGCTCCCACGGCAAAAAAGGCGTGTTACTGTTCACGCGCATGAAAAATAACTTCTTTTTCCGTTTATTTCATTATCCTAGTAGCATAATAGTGTAACTCGCGTGTAAAGAAATATAATTCAAGGTGACAAGAAATGTATCTACAGGCAAGTCGAAATGTAACTTGTCTAATACAGATTATAAGAAATAAAACGTTGATTTTAATAAAAACAAGGAGTGTAATTTCTCAATTATTTTACGTAAATAGTTGATATGCATGTTTTCTTTTAATATTAAGTCCATAAAATGTTTTTTTTATATTTGTTTTTGCGAAAAAATCTTTCTTCCGCCAAAAAAATCATTTTGTTTTTGCAAAAAAAAAATGATTTTTTGTTTCAATAGTTGGGGTTAACTTAATTAGTGAATATATTATGTTATTAATATTAAGACCATAAAAATGTTTTTAAAAATCACTTTTTTGTCAAAAAATCATTTTTTGTGTGGAAATATTTAATTTTTTTTGCAGAACAATGATTCTTTTGTTTCAATAGTAGGCTTTATGTTGTGATGTAATTGGTGCTATAGAAAATGTAACTCGCGTTGATGGAAAATCCAACATAGATGTATGCAAAATGTAATTTGTTGAGGCAAAATTATGTAACTAGCGCATAGGAAGATGTAACATACGTATAAAAAAGATTTAATTCATGCATAAGAAGATGTAACCGCATATACTATCAAATGTAAACAATGAAAACAAGGAGTCTAATTGCTCAATTAATTTACATAAATAGTTAATATGTTTTGTTTTTAGTATTAAGGCCATAAAATTGTTTTGAAGAACAAAAATTGCTAAAAAAACATTTTTTTTCCAAAAAATCTTTTTTTGCCAAAACAATCTTTTTAATTTGCAAAAAAAATTGATTTTTTGTTTCAATAGCAACGGTTTATTTCGTGATATACTTCATGTTATGAAAAATATAACTCGCGTTGATGGAAAATCTAAATTAGGTGTATGCAAAATGTAACTTGTTGAGGCAGACCCAAATGTAACTGGCACATAAAGAGATGTAACGCACGCACAGAAAAATGTAAATCACGCATAAGAAGATGTAACTCCAAGAAAAAATATCAAATGTGACTCCAAAACTTGTTTATAAACATAACTCACACATATGAAAAATGTAATTTCTTGTTTTATTAAATTTAAATCAAAATAAACAAATTTAATGTCTTGAAAACACTAAGTACATATAAGAGAGACAATAGATATATCTTTTTTTGCAAAGAAATAAAGAAATAAATTATAGAAAAAATGTATGAATATGAAAAAATATTTTACAGAAAAAGTGTATAAATGTAAGAAGTATTTCAGTAGTAAAAAAAATAGTGTAAGATTAAAAAAGTAGTAAATCAAATAAAAATACGGTTTTATGTTCCAATTCTAAACAAATACTTAGGATGTTTTTACTTGGACTGTTTTCAATACCACAACAGACCAAATCAGACCAGAATTAAACAGATCAGATCAAATTAAACTACCGTAGTTATAAAATACTCAAAAACTAGACCATAAATCAAATCGGTTCAGACCAAACAAAATTTAAACAGATCAGACCGGCAATTTTTTTTATCATCCAAATCAGCAAATTAGAGTCCATTTTTTTGATCGTGCAAATTAGAGTCCAATAGAGTTAACAAATTCAATTCGAATAGACATATATTCAACCCTACTTAAATCTTCACATCAAATTTGTCGCAAAGGCTACGCACGCAGTAAATTCTGCGCTCATCTCGTGGCAGCGGTTGATATGCTTTCTTCTGAGTTTAAGGTTCGAATAATTCTCTAACAACTGAGTTCTTCTGATATTTGCTATAATTTGAGATACGTGAATTTCTTAGTACTATCGTATGTCTTTAATCGCTCTGTTTTCTGCTCAATCTTTCTTCTCAACACCACATGCTTTATTAATAATCATTAGTACTATTAATAATAATCTTGTTGGTGCATGTTTTGATAACTAAAGAGGCTGAATCTTTACATATGACTTTGTATTCTATGTGAATATATATCAGAATTTTTGTTAGCCCTCAATCTTGAGACGCTGTGCCTTATTATGCAGCAAAACAGAAACAGTGGTAGCCTGGTGCGAGATAACATGGAAACCTGTGATGGCAGCTACTCTTTCTCTATGCCAATGGACGTGTTAACTGAGATTCTTATCCAACTCCCTGTGAAATCATTGATACGGCTCGCCTTTGTGTGTAAATCTTGGTTTCACCTTATCAGAAGTGACCCACAATTTGCCTTGAGACATTATCTCCCAAGAACTAGACCTTCATCATCTACATTGTTGGACAATGTCGATTATATTCTTGATCACCCTTTTTTGTATATTCTGAGGCACGTTTCCACGACAGTAATTAAGGAGGCGGTGTATTTACGCTTTAACCGAAAAGAAAACTTTTCTTCATTTGAAGACACTTGAGTCTCATCCGACGTATGCTAGGCATACATCTAACTTATGTCATGGTCTAATTTGTGTCATAGTTTATCCTCTTGATAATGGGCCTAGAATGCTGTTATGTAACCCGGGGATCGGAGAGGTGGTGTCACTCCAACGACCGGGTTGCCGTGAAATTGTTAAAGTTGGACTGGGATACGACCCAACATGTAACAACTATAAGGTAGTGACACTGTCAGCCTTCGGAAAGGGTAGAACCAAATCTTGGATAGTGGATGTGTACTCGGTCAGAGATGGATGTTGGCACACTTTACATGGCATTGGATCTCTTGAACACCTTGACTCATACTCATTTCAAGGTGAAGCTGTGTTGAATTCCAATGGAAGAGTTATTAATTGGCTGTGTTTCCATAAAGGAATATTATCATTTGACATCGTAGATGAGATTTTCCTTATGATAAGCATCCCAGAATGTTTAGGCCCGGGCAGGTGGCACCCACATCATATCTTAACTTCAAGTGGATGTGAGGTTTGCCTATGTTGTTCCTCCTCTTCATACAATTGGTTTTGAGGCTGGATGTTCTGATGATGCCCAAATTTGGGTACTAAAAAGAGATGGTGAGAAAGATAATTTGATGTGGAAGAAGCATTTTTCCTTGAAATTTCCTGCTGAATATGTGGGATTTGTTTCTTTTGTCAAAATTTGGATGAATGACAATGAACTTTTTGCTCATGTGCGTAAATCAGAATGCAGTAAAGTAGAGGTGTACCATTATGACCGTACTACTAATGAGCTCAAGCCCACCGGCAGATTGGGGTGGTTTGATCCCATTTGTGGTTATACAGAGAGTTTAATCTCTGTCAAGCAACTTGTTTCGTCTTCTCATCATCTACCATCTGCTGCAGCTGTTGCTCGAGATGACGAAAAGAAAGGTCGCGCCTGTGTGATCCGAGAAGTTGGTACAAAAGAGAGTGATGTTCATTGGTCATACTATCTCCGTCCCTAAAGTTTGGACCATGATTTTCATTAGTATATTATTATGAAAGTTATAAATTTTATACTTTTATGAAATTACTTCTTACAAGATTTTTTTCGTATCATTTTATATTATAAATAATTTCCAATAAAAATACACATAGTTGGTCAAAGTTTTAAAGATAGACAAGTTTTTAGGGAAGGATGTAGTATTAAAGTTGGCTTATCAAGCCAGTCATATTATTATTGCAGATGTTTAATTATCTTATAACTTGTGCAAAGCGAGTTTAGCCTTAATTAAGACAAGCTATATAAAAATGTTTTTTCATCCAATAGTTAAAGCATACCGCACCAACCTGCTATCTAGAATTCTTGGAATCCTGCAATATTTTGAATAACACGGTGGAATTTGTCAATTTCCAACTTGGTTTTTCAGCAGTCCATATTTCTCCCGTGGTCATGACTCATAACTACTCCCGCGGCTAAAAATTAATGGTTTCATCCGGCTCCTGTAGTATCCAACATAAAAAACTGCATACCTTGTACACTTGACATGGAGAATGTTGAGTATTCTTGTTAGACCTTTTCAAAATTACTGTCCGGATCTAAGTTGAGATGTTTTTAATTGAACTGAAATTTTCAGGTGTGATCTAGGATGGTCTGGTCGGTTTAAGTCTAATCTGGTCTGAATTTATCAGATATGATCTACTAGATATGGTCTACTAGATGTTTGATCTATGTGTATTTTATATTTGTAAAAATCTGGTCTACATGTATTTTATAAGAGTCGAATTCCGGTCTGATGTGATCTATTTAAGTCTGGCTGATCTGGTCAGGTCTAGGGTTGAAATCAATCCAAGTAAAAACATCTTCAGTCACCAAAAATGTTTTGAGAAGGGAAACAATTAAACACAGATTGTTGAAAATGAAAGTAGTAGAGAAATAACCCTTGGTACAACCGTATGAGAGATACTTTAAACATTTTCCGTCATGCTTTTTCGATATGGTTTATTTCGCTAGTTAAACCTATTTTAATCTACCAATATTGCACATTAATAATGTGTGCAATAGGAATCCTTTTCTCATTCTCCGAGCTATGATCAAGGAATTCATCTCTCGAATGTGTAGAATACGGTCCTCCAAAAACATGTATCTTAATGCCATAATGTTATACAAAGTGCGTAGTATTATTGAACATACAAGTAAATATTTCAAAATCTCTATTTTATATTAATCATTTTATTTATTTAACAATTAAATTTGTTCTTCAAAAGATAGTCATGTGCAAGACTTAATTGTAAGACAAAAGAGTTTGTCGCATTTTTTAAATCATAGTGAGATCAGACTCCTCGTGATATTTTTTAATTCGCATTTTTAATTCACATTTTTTGACAAGTACTGCGTGTGTTACTTTTTTTTAAGAAAAAGTATCTTAACAAACATCATTTTTAATGAGGGCTCAATGAATCAAACTCCTCATGATATACAAAATTTACACATTAACCTCTCGTGACTTCAAAATTTGTCAAACTCTCGTGATGTAATTAATCATGTACATAACACTCTGGAATACTAAATTTATCGATTTCAAAATCACCCGTTTTAATGTTGTGATTATGCAAGTAAATTTGTCAAAAACTCTAAAGCATAAATACCTAATCATTTTTTTATTTGACAATTAATTTGTTCTTCTAATAATTGTGAGACAATGTGTTTGATGTATTTTTTTAAATCACAAGAGATAATGCACAAAATTATATATCAAGGGAATTTAGCATATTAAACATTTAAACTCCTTTTTTAACCGATCATGGATAATCAACTACTCCGTAATTGTTAATAACTCATTTGCATAACAAGATTTCGAGAACTCTGTCCAAGGTAACCTCCATTTTTGGACAGCCATGGGTCATGTACTCATGTGTGCCCCAACTTAACCACCTTCTCCTTTAAATTATGCATCCTGAAGGTAAATGCAGTAAGTAGAGTGATTTGATACTAATTTAATAAGATCCTTTAATTCAAATCGGTGTGCACTACAAAAAAAACACGCCCGTAGTCATGGACTTAGTCACGGACCATAGTGTTAAAAATCCGTGACTAACCTTTTTAGTCACGGATGTAGTCACGGACCAAATCCGTGACTAAACGGGCATGACTAACTTTAGTCACGGCCTTTTGTCCGTGACTAAGGTTAGTCACGGATTAGTCACGGCCAAGATCCGTGACTAATTCGTGACCGGAGTTGCTATTCCGGTACGTTTTTCACGGATAAATCCGTGACTAAATTTTATTTTATTTGTTTAAATTCGTTAAATTTGTCACGGACCTGTCTGTGACTAACTTTTATTTATTTTTTAAAATCCGCCATATTAGTCATGGATGTGTCCGTGACTAACTTTCAAAATTTTTTAAAATTTCAAAATTTCAAATTTTCATTTCGAATTTTCAAATTTTTTGATTTGTCAAGGACATTATCCGTGACTAAATTTTCATATTTAAAAAAAATTAAGTTTTTAAAAGAATTTAAAAATAATATTTGAAAGATCCGGACAAAACATTTGTCACGGATCGGATCTGTGACTAAAGTTTTTTATTTTTAAAAAACAAAATTAAGTTTTATTAAATTATATTTTAAATTATATTTAAAAAATTTTATTTTAAAAAAATGGTTGTAGAATTATAACAATTAAATAGAAAAGAAATTGATACACTTTTAATCTATCAGACTGGAATAAAAGTAATAAACATACTAGAATACGCATTTAATAAAAGTAATAAACAGACCAGAATTATGATATAACCAATGTTCAATTTAAATTAAAAATGTATTATTACATACTCCTTCGTCCACTATGATAATATACAGATTCATCATAATTTATATAATCGTCTTCGGTCTCTTCGCGTTCTTCGAGTGGGTTGCCTCCACGGTTGCCTCTGCGGCTGCCTCCGCCTTGGCCTCCGCTTTGGCCTCCGCGGCTTCCTCTGTGGATGCCTCTGCCTTGGCTGCCTCCAGGTGTCTGAAACTGGTTAAAAGACAGATCTTGAAAAGCTCCGAATGAAGACAACCCGGAGTTGGAATGGAGATAACCGCCCATATGCGGAACTTGAGGAGTCATCTCAGGGTGCAATATATACGGCTGAGGCTGAGGCTGAGGCTGAAATCCGGTGTTGAAGATATTCATTTGTCGTTCCATCATCACTTCAAGCTGGGTTCTTGTTTCTTCCTCCTTTTTCCGTTGCTCCTCCAATTCTCGCTCCAGTTGGGCAATACGTGGATCCTCTCCCCGTCTTGATCGAGAAGATGAAGCTCCGCTACGGTTGTACAAAATCCGTTGCCCTTCAACCCCATGCACGGAACCCGAGCCTTGCACACCCCAGCTACCTTAAGGATCGCATCATCATCCGCATCATAATCGAGCTCATCTGATTCGGTCAAGCCTAGCTCAGCACGCTTCTTCTCAACGGTTGTGTTATACTTCGTCTACATGCACAAAAATTATTGAAATTAGAAGCATATTTATTTGAAATGTTATTAAATAACAGAATTGATGTTATTTACTTCGATTTCAGCGATGCGGGGTGGCAGATCGGCTTTCGAATCATCGTCGTGCTTCGTCCAACAGTGCTTGATTACCTTGAGGATCGCGACCTTCTTCTTCTCAGGCCCCGCCTATATGGTTCAAAAAAGGCTTAAAATCCATAAATAATTGTAAAAATGTGAGGGTTGTAATGGTGCAAGGTTTTTTTGAATAAGACTTACAAGAGTTTCTTTACGTTTACTCTGAGGTTTGCGGCCCCCGTGCCATTGTGTCTCCAAAGCCTTCTCGGACATCCGGTTTTTCTTACCGGTTGCGCTTCTTGCCAAAAAAATTGGATCCAAAGACCAATGGCGACAAAGGTTGGCCCACACTTCATCCGAACACCATCCACGCTGCAGCCCACTCGCTCGGGCACGCCTAAAAGTGGGACGAAGCCAGCTAGAAATCCTAGTATTATACGCTCGAAGAATAGCAAGGCCTTGTGCTCTGGTCCATCGAAATTTGCCCTTTATTAAAAAACTAGTTTACAAACGCGCCATGCGCGTGCGTGTCAATGCCCAAGATCATTTTGAAACATACTATCCCCCGTTCTTTAATTCTTGCAACGATTTGACTTTCACGTTTGTCAATTCACAACTTTGATTGTAATGACATATTTAATTACGTAGTAGTAACCATTATAAAAAGTCGATATTTTGAAAATTCACATTGATAGGAATTCAAAAACATTTTATACGTAATAATTTGATTATGTATATTAGTAGAAAATCGTGGTCAAAGTAAGGTTTATAAATAGTGCAAAAATCACAATGTTGCAAAAATTAAAGAATGGAGGAAGTATTATTTTATGATGTTAAGAAAAACTATATTATTATGAAATGAATTTAGGAAGAAATGATTCTAAATAGTAAAAAATCGATCTTGTATTACAAGAATATACTGCGGTACCAATCATATCATACTGCGTATAATATGACTTTAGCATTTAGGAGGGTAAAGTTCGATCATCAATTAATTAGTACATAACAAAGCATTTATATATGTATGTTCTTTGAAATAGACACAAATAACATTAACTTTGGTAACTAAATTAAATACACAAAGCCCATGAGCATAAGATTAGTGAAATTGAGTAAAAAAATTAAGCTAATAGCTGCAATGTCATCTTAGCGTTATTGTAGACTAACGTAAAATACTACTTCGTACTTCGTATTTGATTGGTTATGAGAGAAAAAACCTTATGTTCTTATCAAACAACTATTAAGTTGACCTTGTTTGAAGAGGATATGTCCATATGTAAACGTATAATGAGAGTAAAATAGGGAATACGTTGGACAAACTTTTCACAATGAACATAAGTATTGATAATCAGGATTGGTCTTGTATGTTTGAAGGCCAATGGGCGAAGAATTAAAATGGGCCTAATTTTTTAAAAAAATTGTAAAACTCTTTTCTGTCTAAAGTAACATGCATAATAACAATATTTCAAGACATATATAAAATATCATAAAACACTCTTCTGATCTGTGAAAATAATAATAATAAAAGCAAGGCAGATCTAAAAACTTAAAATAAAAAACCAAAAACCTTGGTGTGAGTAAACGAATGTAAGCTTTTGGTCACCACACCTAAAACCAAGAGTGAGTAAACGGACACAATTAAGTGAATGTAGCATCTTTTGGTGTTTTTTAAACGGATTAACGGACGTAAGTTAACTTTTGAAGTA